CTGTGAGTATTCTGATTCTTTTTGATTTTGTGTGCATTTCTTTTAATATGCATTTCTTTTTTATTGGACAACTGTACTGCATAATGCAGTTCTCCTATGAAACATGAAAAAGGTATTTGCTTTCTGATTCCTGTACTGACTCAGTATGTACAGCTTAGAGCCAGTCCATATTACAATGTGGATCAAACAAATTTCTCCCTCATTTCTAACTGGGGGTAGCAAGGGGGTACATCGATTTCTGTGGATGTGAAACACTCCCCTCTGCTGGGCAAATTAGACTTTGTACTAGCTTTTCCTTTAGTCTTATGGAAAAATGCCATTTATACACCCATCCTTCCTCAGTGCATGTACCCACAGAACAGTCAAAGTAAAGAATAGTCATGTGACCAAAGGTAGAACTGGCAGCTACAGCTATTCCTATTTCCTTTGCAGCAATTCATTGCACGGCCACGTGCCCAACACGAGGCTGCCTTCTCTCCAGCTTGCTACTCTGTACCCTGCATCTGAGCAGGAAGATTCATCACAACTAACAGCCACTGGTGGACTCATCCTCCTTGACTTTGCTCACCCTGCACCCCCTTAACAGCCATCACCACATACTGCAGTAGCAAAGTTCCTACCAGGTTCATTAGCGTGTTGTTGTTGTTGTTAGTTGCAAAGTTGTGTCTGACCATCGCAACCCCATGGACAAAATTCCTCCAGGCCTTCCTGTCCTTCACCATCCCCCAGAGTCCACTTAAGCTCACACCCGCTGCCCCAGTGACTCCATCTAGCCATCTCATCCTCTGCCGTCCCCTTCTTCTTTTGCCATCTACTGTTCCCAGCATCAGGGTCTTCTCCAGGGAGTCCTTCCTTCTCATTAGGTGGCCAAAGTATTTGAGTTTCATCTTTAGTGTCTGGCCTTCTAAAGAGCACTCAGGGTTGATCGCCTCTAAGACTGACTGGTTTGATTGCCTTGCAGTCCAAGGGACTTGCAGGAGTCTCCACCAGCTCAAAGGCCTCAATTCTTCGGCACTCAGCCTTCCTTATGGTCCAACTTTCACAGCCATACATTGCAACTGGGAAAACCATAGCCTTGACTATAAGCACTTTTGTCGGCAGGGTGATGTCTCTGCTTTTTAGTATGCTGTCTAGATTTGCCATAGCTTTCCCCCCAAGGGGAAAGCGTCTTTTAAGTTCTTGGCTGCAGTCCCCATCTGCGGTGATCTTGGAGCCCAGGAAAATAAAATCTGTCACTACCTCCATTTCTTCCCCATCTATTTGCCAGGAAGTGAGAAGACCGGATGCCATGATCTTAGTTTTCTTAATGTTGAGTTTTGCACTCTCCTCCTTCACCCACATCAAGAGGCTCTTTAGTTCCTCTTCACTTTCTGCTATTAGAGTGGCATCATCTGCATACCTGAGGTTGTTGATATTTCTCCTGGCAATCTTAATTTCAACTTGTGATTCACCTAGCCCCACCTTTCTCATGATGTGCTCTGCATATAAGTTAAATAGGCAGGGCGACGGTATACAGCCTTGCCGAACTCCTTTCTCAATTTTGAACCAATCAGTAGTTCCGTGTCCAGTTCTCACTGTTGCTTCTTGATCCGCATACAGGTTTCTCAAGAGAGAAATAAGATGGTCTGGTACTCCCATCTCTTTAAGAACTTGCCACAATTTGTTGTGATCCACACAATCAAAGGCTTTAGCATAGTTAATGAAGCAGAAGTAGATGTTTTTCTGGAACTCCCTAGCTTTCTCCATGATCCAGCGTATGTTGGCAATTTGATCTCTAGTTCCTCTCCCTCTTCGAAATCCTGCCTGTACTTCTGGTAGTTCTCGGTCCACATACTGCTGGAGCCTAGCTTGTAGGATTTTGAGCATCACTTTGCTAGCATGTGAAATGAGTGCGATGGTGCGGTAGTTTGAACATTCTTTGGCATTGCCCTTGTTTGGAATTGGAATGTAAATTGACCTTTACCAATCCTGTGGCCACTGTTGAGTTTTCCAAATTTGCTGGCATATTGAGTGTAGCACTTTTACTGCATCGTCTTTTGGGATTTTTAATACCTCAGCTGGAATACTGTCGCCTCCACTAGCTTTGTTGTTGCTCAGACTTCCTAAGGCCCATTTGACTTCACATTCCAGGATGACTGGCTTGAGATCAGTGACCACCCTATTGTGCTTATCAGGGACGTTAAGCTCTTTCTTGTATAGTTCTTCTGTGCAATCTTGCCACCTCTTCTTAATCCCTTCTGCCTCTGTTAGGTCCCTGCCATTTTGGTCCTTTATCATGCCCATCTTTGCATGAAACATTCCCTTCATACCTCCAATTTTCTTGAAGAGATCTCTGGTCCTCCCGATGCTATTGTTTTCTTCTATTTCTTTGCACTGTTCGTATAAGAAGGCATTCTTATCTCTTCTAGCTATTCTCTGAATTCTGCATTCAATTGGGTGTATCTTTCTCCCTTGCATTTTGCTTCCCTTCTTTCCTCAGCTATTTGTAAAGCTTCCTCAGACAGCCATTTTGCTTTCTTGCATTTCTTTTTCTTTGGGATGGTTTTAGTTGCTACCTCTTGTACACTGTTTAAAGATGGCAGTGGTTACACTTCTTAAAAGGCCACACATGGATCCTGAGGATGTATACAACTACTGTCCTATAGCCAACATTTCCTTCCTGGACAAGGTGTTCGAGTGAGTTGTGGCTGGGCAGCTCCAAGTAGTCTTGGAGGAAATGAATTATCTAGAGTCATTTCAATTGGGCTGAAAGTGTCCTTTCAGCTTTAACCCAGTCGCTTCATTCTTTCTGGCGCTACTAGTGCTAGCCCTCTGCTCTTCCCCAGTAGCACACTGGACACACCTTCTGACCTGAGGGGCTCATCTTCCGGCGTCATATCTTTTTGTCTTTTGGTACTGTCCATGGGGTTGTCATGGCAAAGATACTGGAGTGGGTTGCCATTTCCTTCTCTAGTGGATCAGCTTTTGTCAAGAGCTCTCTGCTATGACCTGTCCCTCTTGGGTGGCCCTGCACGGCATAGCTCATAGCTTCATTGAGCTACACGAGCCCCTTTGCCACGACAAGGCAGTGATTCTTGAAGGGGTTATTAGCACATAGCAGCCTGCTTAAACACGGGGTAGCAACTGTTTGACTAAAAGTAACCACCTATACCTTAAAATTCCATAAATACATGAAGCGGTACAATTATATCCACTTTCCAAATTATACAACTTATAATGTAATACATTTCACTTTCCTTGAGTAAGTTAATATTTGATAAGTATTCTTAAATTTCAGCTCCCCTCATGTTTTTTCTCCCCTTCCCTCATATAGTCCCCTCCCTGATGGTTTCAGCATTTCTAGAAATTCACATTCTAGGTAAAGATATTACCTTCAAAGCTTCAAATGACAATAACAATGAAAAATTGAATAAGACAATATTATTAACCCCTATTCATGATTCCTAAACTGGGTAGAGCAAACAAAGGAAAGGGGGCATGCTAACCCTGACCTGCTCAGTTCTAACATTTGTGAAAGACTTGCATGGAGAGCTTCCACAGGTACAGAACCGTCTCCTTTTTTAGAAAGTTGCCTTCCACAACTAGAGGCTATGAATGCAACAGCGAAGGTGGCACAACTAGTGTGCTCTCTCTGCTCATGTGCTCAACTTAACCGTTTAAGGGAATGCCTGAATGCCCATCCCATCCCATTCCAGAATACATGTCCATCTTCAACATACACTTGTGTGCAATATAAGAGGGTAAGCAGGAGATTGTCTCATACATTTCACAGGCATTGCTTTAAACTGATGACATGGGCAAAGGCATTCCAAAAGATGTGGCTATATAATTGCTAGAATTTCATAAGAATACTGCATTGCATATTTTCCTCTTATCTTTTAAATTACAGGGTTCCCAAGCTAGTTAAGATGAGGTGGCACCATCACATACCCTTGTCTTAACATCAGCTATCACTTAGAAGTTCCTTCCATATGAAAAGTTGCTGAGTCTGGAATCCCAGCTTATTTCCTGTTCGAAACAAGCAACTTATCTAACGGCACATCAACTCTGCAACTTTCACTGCAGTGAAAATGGGGGTCTCTTCCTGTTTCAGAGCTGTTTTTTTCTTTAAAAAAATCCTTAGAGATCTCACTCCATTTCAAATAATGTTACCTTTTTGGCAAAAAAAAAAAAAAAAAAAAGTGGGTTTAGGAAGATACGTGGAGTGGCTAGAGTGAAGCGATTTCTGGGTCTACTTAGGTTGCTATTTATTTCACGGCCACCTGAAACCTGGATACAGTGAAAATGCTTTCCAAAGATCCCTCACACATTGGTCCTAGTGACATGACACATTATGCCATCCCTCAGAAAATCTCCATTCCTAGTAAATTCTGGAATGACAATTTTCCAGAGCTGCCAAGGACTGCCAAGATTACCAGTTACAGATACAGGGCATAAATCATACTCCGAGAGACTAGAATTAATATTTGTATTTATTTCTGTACTGCCTGGTAGCCAATATTGCTATACCCATTATTGCCATCTATATGAATGCAGGCAACAGTATCATTCACTCCAGCAGCACTTCCGCCTTCGCTAAAATGCAGCAGCACATTCCATTTCACTCCTAGGAAGGTAAGAAACACCACGCTCGATCAGACGAAAGGTCCACCTGTTCCAACATTCCATGCACACACTGCACAAGGAAGGCGACGGAGGCAAAGTGGTCTACCTGAAGAATACTTAATGGCAAGGAATGACACTCAGTGGCTTTCTAGCGCTGGTTTACCAACAAAACGTAAAGTCCTCAGAAAAGATTTCTTCCATACTCAAGCTAATCAGAGCATGTATTTATTTCATTTATATCCCATCCATCTTCCATCGTGAAACTCAATGTGGCTGCATGTGGTCCCCCCTCCAGCACTAAGCAGACCCAGTCAGCAAAGTGGCTCTCTGATGTGCTTTCTGACTGCACTCACTGGAACACTATCGGTTTTCCCTGTACAGCTAACAATTCCTACCTGTGAGGATGGACACATTGTGGAAACAGCTGTCCAGCTTGCCAAGGAGAATGGAGAGGAAACTGTCAGGTGACAGACCACTTGCATCCCGTGTGCTCTGGTCATAGACCACAACATCTTGGTGCTTTTCTGCCTCTACCTGCAAGACAAGCAAAACAAAAAAGCTTAGCATGGATGGAAAAGTTAATCTGTAAATGTTACTGGTACACTGCTTTCAAACTGAACTGAGAAATGGTTGTCTCCACTGTCCCCAGCTGAGGGGTACAATGGCTCCCTACATTCTTTTATGTGACATCTCCTGATTATTCTTAAAATGGGCAGAAGAAACAACAGGAGGAAGATGGATAGATCAGACAGATGGATAGATGGAGGAATGACATGATAAAGCAATTGCAGATATGTGGCTGCACCAAATACAATGTAATTTCTTATTCTGGCTTTTCTAAGAAAGTATATGAAAAATTTGCTGCCCATCAATTTACCCTGCCAAAGGTAGAGTGCAGCATCTACTTCATGCAGATGATTTTGGGTATCATGAAAGGAAAGCAAGTTTGTTAGCTATTTAATGCATTACTGACCTGGTTTTTATGTCAGGGATGGGGAGACTTGACTGCGATTTCTTGTATCCTATGCTGAAATAACTTTTCAGTGGTTTTGGGCACTAGGAATATTGGCTAGAGAATGGTAGTCATGTCCCTTCTCAGGAGTTTATAAAACTGAAACTTGACACAAGGGAGGCAAGAGGAGGTAGTGGATGGGAAATTCACATTCAGTTCAGTTATATGGTAGTTGGAATGCGTTTCAAAGAGAGACAATGGGGTTAATACAAACCTGACAGATGAGTCAGGTTTAGATAAGCGATTTAGAAAGGAGGTATGATATAGGAATTGTGGAAGAAGTTTCAGCCTCCAGGCATGATGATTAGTCCAGAAAAAATGGGAAAATTGTTTCAAAGATCAGGCAGCCTTTGGATAGCTGAGCACAGCAGTGCTCATCATGGACAGGGATATATCCGATATGAGGAACACAGTTACTGAGTTGACGGCTATTTTAGATGCTACAAATACATGGAAGCAAATGAAGTACATGTGTCACACACAGAATCATAGAATAGTAGAGTTGGAAGGGCCCAAGAAGGCCAATGGGTCCAGTCCCTTGCAGTTGCAGGTCATCAATTTACACCATATCTCACTTCCTTTGAAGTGAAGTCTACTGAGTCAAGCAAGAACTTAGGCACTGCTCCTGTGGGGAGATACACTGCATCGCAGATCTCTGCAAGAAGGTGGAGCTCTCTGCAGAGACAGCATGCAAGGTCCTATCACATATATTACATGAAAAGACGCATCCTCTAACTGATTGACTGTAAAACTGAAAGCCACCACTGTAACTTCTCCCATGAAAATTAAAATTGGACAACCAAGGCTGAAATGTACACAGAACCCCTCTCTTTTGAACCCTCATTTTCATGCTTCCAACCTGTACCATTATCATCTCCTAGAACAGTGGTGGCAACCCTATGGCACGCATGCCACAGCAGGTGAGCCAAGTAGCCCCAGCATCACCCCAGCAGCCGAGCACTGGATAACAGCGCACATAAGGGCCATGCGTATGCTCGAAAAGGAGTAACGGCACCAGGCAGTGGCGTCATGAGCCGCAACTCATCCGAGTTTTTGCATGGCCCATCAGTGCTCTGCCAAGGATATAAATGTATGTATGTATGTATGTGTTTGGACTGGCTTTGAGTTTAAATACATTCATTTTTATTAACACAAGATTTTAGCTTTGAGTTTTCTTATGAAAAATTGAAATTTAATATCTAAGATTTAGCAAAGAGAATTAAAAAGCTGTATCACTGAAAGCTCTTTTATTGTGTTTTTCTTTTAAGACAAAGGACGTTAATGTATGAATTGTTTTTTCTAAACTAAAACCTCAGTATTCAGGTTTTATTGCAGTGTTAGCACTTTGTGATAAATAAGAGAGTTTTGGGTCACAGTTTGGGCACTCGGTCTCTAAAAGGTTTGCCATCACTGTCCTAGAATATCAGAGGTACCATTTTTACTAGATCATTTGTTAAATGGTGACAGTTGTCAGTTTTCCGAGGGAGGGAGGGAGGGAGGGAGGGGGGGCGGGCAAGGGGGGAGCATCTAGAACCCACTCAACAGGCTAGGGCAAGTTGAAAGCAGAAGAGGAAGACCAAATATGGGATGGAACAGTTTCATAAAAGTAGCCACAGCCTGGGACTTTACAGAACTGAGTGGGGCTGTCAAGGACAGGACATTTTGGAGGGCCTTCATAAGGTTGCTGGAAGTCAGAGATGACGTGACAGCAGATGACTACAACAGGTAACCCAAATGCAATGCATCCTTTGCACCCCTCTGAAGACACTTCTTGGCCTTCATCAGCAAAGTTAAAACTTTTTCACAAACAAGGGCAGTAACTATGCACCTTCACATTGCAGAGCACATCTACTTTTATAAGCTGTTCTTTCCCATCTGGCCAGCAATCCATTATTTTTCCAGTTCCTCACTGTATATCTAGATGGCACAAAATGCTGCATATTATAAATGTCCACGTGTGTTATCTGGATGCATGTCATGCATATGTGTGTGTGCGCATGCGCACAGGTTAAAGCAGGAGAAGATTTTCTTTAACACCAACACAGGTACACAGATCTCATTCAGATACACTGCACAGCTTTAGGAAAGAACGCATGGGCTTCACTATCATTGGGTTTGCAGAAATGCATCACTGATTCCACATAGAGACAAAAGGGGGTTCCTTTCGATGACAAGGCTTCATGCCATACCTAAGGAATGGCCTGAATGACACCGGCAAGGAGTGCAAGGCACAGTCAGAGACTGCCGTGCCTAATGAAAGGTTAATGCATTAAAGACTGATGAAATCCTCACAGTGCCACGGCTGAATGCATCCTCTGAATAGGCTGATGGGTGGCATACGCCGGCCTTCCAAGCTGGCGGCCTTCTGCCCTCTGGCGCAAAGCACATCTATCATTCTGCTGTCATAGGAAGGCAGCTGTGGTGAAGCAAAGCCAGAGAGAGAGAGAATGCAGCCAGCCAGTTGGGGACAGGAAAGGGCTAAACAGCTCTTTCCATTACATTCCAGATAGCTTGACAGCAGGAGTATGGATCAGCTGTGGAAGGCATTTCAAATCAAGCCAGTATGCACACCAGAAACTACATGTACGGGTAACAAAACTAAAGATGCCAAGGGTTCTCCCAAAGAATCTTGAGAATTTTAGTTTGCTGAGGGACTCCAGTATTCTTCCTTCAGAATCCTTGAAAACAACCACCATTCTTAGGAATCCCAGTTCAACTTTGTGGTCAGATATGCCCTCTGTGGTTGTAACTTTATAATACATGGGAGATCTGCAACTGACCTGTAATTTATTCATGTAAAAGGAATTCTATGCCCCCTTGGGAGCTGGATAGGGGTTGTCATGCAAGGGAGGCTAAGGGAACATCTAATCCTTTCCCCAACACCGCAGCCCTGATCCAAATTGTCCTGGAGCTTTGATTAGCAAGAGATGGGATAATCATACAAGCATCAGTACTAGTGCCTATAGAATTCCCCCTCCACAGCTAATAAGGAGGACAACTTTGAAAAGTGCTGTGACACAGCAGGCAAGTGTCTGTTAAAATGAGGCAAGTGGAATTCAGATTGACTTTGTTTTTGTTTTGCTTTGTTTTTCATTTGAACCTCAAGATTCACCAAATGGAGCCAAAATAGGGGCTCAGAAAGGCACATGAAGACCTGAGGAACAAATTGCTTCTGAATGAAACTGTGTTCATTACTGGAACTGTAGTTCACATCAGAGTCCTTTCATACAACAAATATACACCTGTTTTATCCCACATTTCCTTGATTTTAGCAGCTTAATTTGGGAGGGGAAACAGCCTTTAGTTTTTGCTACTATTAAACCACTGGGGGTTGGAAATCCTTGCTGATCTACCTGGAAATCTCCTGGAGATCTGCCAGCTGATCCTGATCTATCTTCTGCCCATTTTAAGTCAGAAGAGGTACATGGGAATTCCAACCATGGCTCTCCCCTTAACATTTAGGGACATAGTAAGAGCTGTGTTGGATTGGCCCGGTCCATCTAGTGAAGCATTCTGCTCCCACAGTGGCCAACCAGCTGCCTGTGGGAAACTCTGACTGCAATATCTGGCAGTCATCACTACATCTGGTGGAAATGAATTCCATAGTTTAACTCTGTGTCATGTGAAGAAGTACTTCCTTTTATCTGCCCTTAATGGTCCACCATTCATTTTCATGGGATGATTCTTGGTTATAATACTACGGAAGGGGAGAGAAAATGTCTCTTCCTCCTCACTATGCATCATTTTGTATACATTTCTCAGGTCTTCCTTACACATCATCTTTTTTCAAAGTTAAAAAGCTCCAAGTGTCATAGGCTTTCCTCACAGAAGGGTTGCTCCAACCCCTTAGTTATTTTAGTTGTCTTTTTTTGCACCTTTTCTAACTCTACAATAGCCTTTTTAAGATGTAGCTACCAGAACTATATATAGTATTCCAAGTGTGGCCACGCCATAGATTTATATAAAAGCATTATTACACTGGCAGTGTAATGTTTAATTACTATACTAATGATCCCCAACCAAAAATTTGCCCTTTTCACCGCATCACACTGGGTAGGCCTTTTCATTGAGTTATCAACCACAACCTCCAGATCCTTTTCCTGGTCAATCACTGCCAGCTCAGATTCCATCCCATACACATACAGTTAAGATTTTTCCCCAATACACATCACTTTGTATATGCTTATAGTAAATCATATGTGCACATTCCTGAAGTCTGAAGGGATTCTTTAGCAACTCTTTGCTGTCCCTTTTTGTTCACACCAGCTTAAATAATTTAGTCTTGTCAGCAGATTCTTAGTTGAAGCTTGGCCCCAAGATTCATTGGTTCAAGTGTCAGGTATGTCAAGTACTGATGCTGCCCACCAATAGCCCAGGTAGTGGACTGAATCTGACTTTGCAGTACACCTCAAGTGAGCAATTGCTTTAGGAACCTGTCTACACACCCATCCTGCCCAACACAACGCTACTTTGGTGAAGGGCGTATTGTTCCACATCTAGTAAAGCACCTAAATTCCTGGTA